GGTTTAATGGACTTATGGTGATGTGTTGATTGGTGATATTATACAGCGATGAAAATTTGGTAAAAGATGACTACTTAAGATATCACATGGATAATCAAGGATGGGTTGATGTTTTTGTAATTGCAGAATTTTCACGAGTAAGCAAATTGCAAATTTTAGGAATATTTGATTTTGAGGAATATATAAGATGTGTAATACTAATTCTCTTTTTTTCTTCTGATTAGATCAAACGTATGACCAATGATATTGCATTGATATTGTGTTCAATGAGATCATCTACAAATGTTGAAATCCAGGTAATATTACTAATTACACATCTTTTCTTATTGTAGAATCAAATTAAGAAATACTTATATATTATATTAAAAATTTAAATCAAATTGTGTGTAGGATGGGAGAGGTGGTTACAAGTTAAGGAAACGCCATGGATGGGAGAGGTGGTTAATCCCACGAGAAGGCTTCATATACCATTAGTAATAATGAAGAATCGATTAACGTTCGGTTTGATATTCAATTGAAACAGTATTAGTTTGGAATACTGTATTATGTTATTTATGGTTATCAGAAAAAATTATGGCTTTGTGTTAGCAAAAAAAAATATATATATATATATGGCTTTCGTCTACATGCTTTTGGTTTTATATTTATAAATAAAATTATGTGTAGAGGTGGCAAAAAAAAAGCAACGAAAATAGTCGAATCGAACAAGACTAGTGTATCATGTTTACTAGAAAAAATAACAGTGTATGTTTTCTAAAGTACATGGAAAATAAGAGATATTTACAAATTTTTGTTGAACATAGAATGCAAATAATGTTGAGAGGTAGTGCATTGTTATCTTCTATATATTAATTGAGGAGACACTAAAATGAAAATCTTATGTATCATTCAATGAAGATTTTAAGGAAGATGTCATTTAAATTAACCAATGAAACCATTTCAATTAATTCTACATATTCTTATTAATTTTATAACATAAACCCTTTAATACATGTTTGCAAATCTAAGTCCAACTAAATGTAATATTTAGAATTATCATATCATCTATTTTTAAAACTTCTTTTATATTTTTAAAACTTTTTATTATTATATTTGTGACAATATTATTTATTGTGTATATATATATTTAGATTAATATGATATATAAAATATTTACACATTTCATTATTGGAAAATATATATTGTTTTTCGTTTATTATGTCCGACAAATTCATATAAATCTAAAATTTATCTGATTTATCGCATGCTCTATAATTTACATGAATAATAAAAATTAATTTTACACTTAAAATATATTGAAATAAATAACATTTTCATATGTTCTGATCAATTGCACATAAAAATATTAAAACTGATGACATCAAAATATATTAGATCCAAATTTAACTTGATTATATTTATGCACAATGCATATCATTTTGTAAATTTATAAAGATTAGAAATCATATGATTTGTCAGACAAATTTACATATTAAAATATATTTAATCATTTAATCACACGCTTGGCGTGGGTCAAAATCTAGTTTGGTAATATTGCCATATCAAAAATAATTTAAAACGTCGATAAATACTACAAATGTGAATGTTTAAACATCAATCCGATGTCGTCCAGCGGTTAGGATATCTGGCTTTCACCCAGGAGACCCGGGTTCGATTCCCGGCATCGGAGCTTTTAGA